CTGCAAGTTATCCAAACTTGCTTCAATATCCTCCTGTAAAAAGAAAAGAATAGTTCTATATTCATTGTGGCTTGAAAGCAACACTCTTTAAACTTCAGCATGGTTTCACATACCTGTTCATCTCTAGAGTTTTCCTCCAGTCCATTGTCTTCAATGCCTTCTTCTGGTTTTCGCCCTGAAAACAGCATTATTCAAAGGATTAAGAGCAATATGTTCTTCAGAATACACACCCTCTTTGCTAAATTAGCTATTCAACCTTGAGTTTGTTCCAAAAATTAATCATTAAGACCCTGATTCTAGGCTGCAGATAATCTGGACTGTATTTACCACTACAATGTCATTAAATGGCATCAACTTGAACAAGTGTAGTGTGTCTAATGCCTGGTTCTCCAACTCAAACTTAGGTCAACCTAGCTATGTCACTTGGGGCTGTGCAAGATTTCACACCCTGAACTCTGTAGTTAGGTTAACCTAACCCCCAGCGTAGACATGGCCAGGTTAACCTAGCAACCATCTCTCGGAGAGGTGGATTGGCATCAACAGAAAAAAACCCTTCCATTGATGTAGGAAGTGTCTACACTATGCACTGCTGCAGCATCATAGCTATGCTGCTGTAGCAGCTGCAGTGCAGTCATACCACAGGTGACTATTTAGATTTCCGTACATCATTCTCTCATCCCTATACCCCTCAATAAAAGGACAGTATAAAGATACATTTTTAAAAAAGAAATTTTAAAAGTCAATATAATGAACAGAATCGTAATATTTCACTTTTTCCATTTATGTCCTGCTCATCTCAAAAACAGATTAGTCAATTATCAGTTTATAATTTAGATCCCAATATTGCAAGCCAGTCCACGATATCACTTTGCAGGATCAAGATCTTTAGGACATGGATCATGTTTAGCTATGTCTGTGACTAGACAAACTTATGATGATATAAATGTTATAGTCAATTTCACTTTCTGGTTCTCAAGTACTACCATAATGGATATACAGACAACTGGCCCAATATAAACTCAAGTGACAACTTGAAATCTAGTCAAATTTTAAAAACGAGCTACAAGCAATTTCAGAAAATGCATGCCCCAAGCCAATTTTTGAGGTTTTGCAACCACATAGTTTACTCATAATTTCTTTCTAAAACACAAACTCTGCTAAGGGGGCTTTCAGAGCAGCTGTCTCTCCTATGCCGGGCACAATCCTGTATTCACTGTCATGAGTACTAAAAATACACTTGCAATTTAAGACCATGTCCACTTTATGGTTGAAGGTGTACTAACATAAGGTATATTTGAACCTCATAATACAATTTTAAATTGTCTTCATTGGTCAAGGAAACAGTGCTAAGCTTAAGTTGTTGATAGCATGATTTCAGCTGTACATTAACAGAAACTGGAACGAAAAACAGAAAATTACAAGTAATCTTAGAGAAAACTAACAAAAGAAAGAAAAGCAAGACTATGTAGACACAAGTTACTTGTGAACCAGGAGTGTCAACTGTTTTGTACCTTTGCTAGTTCTCTTTGGTGTTCTTTTATTGCTAACTTCTGAAGCCACTGGCATTTCATCAGGGTCGCCCCCTTCTTCCTCAATGGCCTATTGGAAACAGAGAAAGTCATTTTTGGTTTGGTGAGTTTTCAAGAGCCCGTTTCCATTTCCCCAATATCATCTCACATATAGGGGAGTCAGATATTGGCCATCAGTAAACAGCCGGAGTGAGGAGGAGCTATATCAAGGCGCACTGCTCACCATTTCCCAGAAAAACCAGAATACAATCAGCAGCACGACATTTATTCTGTAAATGACAGCATCATATCTAAAGGCTCGGCAGATTACTTAGTAACTTTTAGGGGCAGGGACCAGCTCTTTATGGGTTTGGACAAAACCTAAAGCAGGTGCCATTGGAATACAAATGCGTAACAACCTTTCCTCACCCCCAGTCTCGTGGGAGCTCAGCGAAGGAATAGAGGGACAACAGCACCACAAAGGCCCCAAGGGGCTCAGTGAAGGGTGTGCACCTGGGAGGGAGGGGGGCTAGCGGCCCTCAAAGAAGGGGGTGGCTCCCGAGGGAGGGGGGCTAGCGGCCCCCAGAGAAG